TTCAGTTTTGTTTGAAATTTTAGAAGTTTAGAGATCATATGAAAATAAACACATTTTTAGGAGCCTTTATTTCTTATTTATTTTTATTATTTTTATAAAATTAATAATTTTAATAATAAAAATATAAAAAGAAAAAAATATACTTAATTGTTTTTAAACATGTCCTTATTAGTCATTTAATTTTGAATAACTGCTAATTATTGTATAACTAAACAATTATATTAATCGAATCTACAAACTATGATTCACTACCTACTTTTCGCTATCTGTCACTTGCTATCTGCTAATTGTCATATGCTACCCATTATTATTATCTGCTATTTGCTATCTACTACCTACTACTTGCTATCTGCTAAATTTTAACCACTATACCAAAACAAGTCCTTAAAATCATAAGCCCTCTTTAGTAGGCTAAAATGAACAATATTCACATCACTTTTCAAGTTGTTACATTTATTTTCATAAAAAAGCAATAAGATTAGATAGATTGTATGGTACAATTAGGCATAACCTCTCCAAAACCCCTTTAACTATTTGTCCTTAAGACCATCAGCCCCGTAATATACATATTGTGTGCTTTAACTATATATAAAATTCACGTTATTATTGTAATCAGTCTAAAATAAATAGAAACTCATCATATGAGTTATATAACCATCTTTAAACTGTTACCTTATCCCTATCAATGCCATATAGACATAAAAATAGTCTCTTTGGACTTGCAGTGCAACTACTTCTGATATTGAGGCACTTGCATTACAAGTCTCTTAAAGCGTCATTTAAGTTAAGAGACCTAGACTTAGTTTGAGAGTGTTGCTTTGTAGTTGTAATTGTAGGTCTTTTAGTCTTTTAATATCGCAAAATTATGTAAAATATATTTAATTATTTAATATTTATTTTTATTAATATTTTGTTGAGGGACGAATTTGCATGGCTTCGAAGTTGACAACGTGTGTAGTGCCACATTAGCAATGGCCCACATGATTTGTTTTCCACACCAGACATGCTATTTTTATTTTCTCCTGATCACTGCGATAAAATCAGCATCACCAAAAGTGGCATTCATCCACTTCGCTAGAAACACCGTAGACACAACCTGCTCCAGCATCTATTTCTATATACACAGCTAGATATGGCCACATTTATCTGCATAACATGGCTGAGCGAATTTGACGATCATGTTCTCTATGGTGATGTTTGCCAACACATATTTTGGCTCTTAACGATGGACAAAGGGCCATATTTGCTTTTCTCATTTAGCCTCTAGCAATGGGCAAAAGACTATACATTTCTACATATCTTCATCACACTAGCTCTCGACAATGGACAAAGGGTTGGATCTTTACATATTCTATCTCACTAGCTACCAAGAATGGACAAAGAGTCAACGCAACTCGGTATGATTAGTGTGAGGCTAGTAACAGTAGCAACCTTGTGATCGGACGAGATGGTTACCCTCCAACGATAAAAATCCATCAAGTAATGGCCGGTGGTCCCTTAGCAGTCATCCGTGCATGGTGGTGCGATGCTCGATAGGCAACAACAACTAGGACCACCCTCGTTTGTTAATGGCATCACACCTTATCGTATCGGCTTGTTGTATTAGAGGCTACGGATGTGGCTAGTGTCCCCCTTCCATGAAGGCAACTTCACCTCTCTCTATCACATATTCATCACTATAGTAGAGTCTAGCTTAGTGAGATTTAGCCTTTCGCAACTTAGCAAATTAGTGGAAGTGCTCTTCCAATTCCACATAGTTCACGTTCCAGCCATGTTCAAAGTTAGCCACTGTTGTCCCTTTGGCTATTCATGGCTAACCCTACACTATTTACATGGTTGGCAACCATGCATGTCATTATTTGCTCACACAAAGGGACAATTATTGGTTGCTAGTAATCTTGACTCATAACATATATCTTTTATGCCTTACGTGTTAATAGGTATCATCGACTAGCGATGCTAGGCTTGGACAACGGTATCACAACATATATCCATATCACTTATTCCTTGTCTTGGTGCCATGCTAGCTATACACAGCAGCAATATACAAGCTTTCACCATGGCTAATGGACAAAAGCGCTTAGTGAGCATTCACCCACATCACCCTTTTCAACACATAAGGGAGCGCCTTTCTTTGCTGCGTATATCCATACATATTGCATTTAAATGTTTAAACATACAATCATTTGTATCTTGTTTCTATAGTAGATAAACACAAGCCCATGAATCTAAGGTCATAGGAATTACTCGGAATAAACTATGGGAGTGGTGGCTTGGCAAGCATGGATAGGTGAACGTTGCCCATCTGGTGAAGCAAGGTATTCACACAAGCGAAGCTTTGTGCTGGTGGTGTTGCCTGACTTTGCCAAAGAGGGCTGGGTGGCGAAGATATGGAAGTGGAACTAATCCCCAAAACCATACCATCTGATGCTAACTAGATGCTCAAAAATCCTGTTAAAAACTAACCTAAGATGCTGTTTTAGTCTCCATCAGCAAGTTGCAGCAATATTTAATGTAAAGGTGGCTGCATTAGTTACACTATGTTGGGAACTGTTGAAAAAGATTGCATTTTGCTTGGGGAATTTTTCAAAATCCTGGGCAAATTTTGTGTTTGTTGGCTACACTCAAATATCCTCCTGAAAAATGGAATTTCATATGGCTTGAGGAATTTCCAATCCTTCACTCGAATCAACGAAGCTTCACTAGAATCACTAGGTAATTTATAATATCACTACCAGAGAGCTGTCAACAGTGCCCAAAGCCACTAAAAGCTTGACAGCTCACCCAAATATACCAATTAGCCACCATACACCTTTGACCCATTAACCCAACAGTCATGGAAATGCCACTCCACATGTATATATTATTTTTCCTTCATTTTTCAACAAGGGGGAATAGTTTTTTTTTTTTTTTTTTTTT